TCCTTTTTACCTATGTACTTTTTTTCGTTGTGTTTTTTTCCTCCCGTCCTTGGACTTATTTGTCCGCTTACTATTGTAATCGGCCATCACGGTTTGACTTAATCACGTATTGGACAAAACGTGGTGTCATTTTTCACACTCGCTGTAGCTCTATTATAACGTTGAGCCGGTGTATACCTACGCTGCTGCTGCTGCCGTTGTGTAACTCGTAGACCATCGTCGGCTAGACCACGAACCGACACAGCTCAGCAGGACTTGAGGGGATGGAATGCGATTACAATAATGATGATGATAATATATTTTATATTATTAGGTTCGCGAGTCTTTCGAGCGTCGATGGTCGGAGGGCCGCGGATTACGACCGACAACGAAGCGTTGTAAAAGACGCTACTCGAACAGTCGTAAGCTCCACGTCTCTTGTACAGCGATTTCTCTCATTCTCTGGTTCACGGTTAGCTGTCGGCTCGTCGTATGTGCATTTTTTTTTATCGCTCTAAAAGCGCAGTCGGCCGATTTGTTTACACGTCCGTGCACCTATTTATGCGACGTGTGGCCGTGCTAATCGCGGACTGCGAGGAAAACGTGACTGGAATCGCAGGTGTTCATGCCCGCGTATCTACGTCATATAATAACGTGATCAGACCAACTAAAGCTATTATATTATATTGTTATAACGTGCGTAAATTATATACCTATCGTAGTTATAATAGTGACACCTTTATAGTGCCGGCGATAAAGCGGTAAAAAATGTAAGCTACCTGTTAGTGCCTACATACATATACAGCGTGATTCGCGAAGAACGTAGGCTCAATGCTTACCACGCATTTTACTATAACTTGTATAGGGTAATGCATTTGTCTAGTTCTGATTTTTGTAATTTTCGAGTACTTTAATTATTTTTTACCGTTCAAGGAGTACGCCATGTGGCGATACTAACTTTTTCATTTTTAATAATGAAAACCCACACCATTTTTTACAGTAAAATTTTAATAGGACGGATATTTTGATTATGTTGACGCACATAAATACACGAATTTAAATTCAAGCGAGTAGTTTCTGAGTGACTGAGTTATTAAACTTTTTGTGAGGATAATACTCCTTAACAATTATTTTTTTAAAAATATAAAATATAATACATGTATGCAATTATATTTAGTTTTAATTTGGTTTTATTTAATTTTATACGAATAGTTATAAATTATAAAATGATAAGCCATCATATAATAGTCTTTATTATCCTCGTAGCCCGTAGGTACCGATAATTTAACAATTTAAAAATAACTCATTCAAATTTCGATTTATATACATTAACAATTTCCTAAAAATAATTGTCATAACAATTTAAAAGGAATCAGATAGTTTTTATAAAAAAGTCTGTTTTGGCCACAGTACACTCGTAAATTGTAAAAGTCCAAGGCTTTGCAAATATAGCTCAAGTGTACCTATAACTAAAAAATCTAAAAATCTTAATTAGAATAAATGCATTATTAAAGGTGAAATGGGGGTGAGCATGCTTAATAATTTAGGATAATATAGACGTTTGGTTTACAATAAACAATAAGTAAAAACTTGAAAACCGCATGTACAAAATATATTAGGAATACCGATCCACTCCGGTGGGTATATTGGAACAGTTTGATACTTAAGTCTCAACTCTCGAGTCCCAGTCATTGATGATTGCCAGATGCCAGTATAATATAGAAAAATGTATTTTCTCAAAAACACCCTTGACGGAATGATTGATTTATCTTCTATATATTGTCACGAGTTCATTTCTATGGGTCCCTCATCCAAATTTTTGTTATACGAGAAAAAGTATAACCTGCGATCCTCTGATTTGTATCTTATAAATTATAAACTAACTCTGACCCCCTTTCTCTCTTCTCTATACTAACACACATTCTCAAATTCGGTATACCTAATAATAATTTAACTGTCAGTGTTCTTTTTAAGCGCCGGTTAATAAATTATACTAACTAGTATTTTTAATCTTAGTTTCAAATAAAAACAAGTTAAACCTAGATAATCCCGAATTTAACCGGTACAACTAGCCCTTAGTCGTATTACTCGCGTATTCAACACAATGATGTTTAACTCAGTACACGATCTTAGTCAACTTGTTTTCCGCTATTCGAATCAAATTTATTTTTAGCGTCTTTGTGTGTATATACACGTGTCTATACATATTAGTCTCAAACGCAGACAATGTTTTCCCAGCTTCGAAAATTAACTCACTCGATATAGCTTTTGACGGACAACCCCTAATTTTACCCGCGACCAAATAATTCGTTCGATTCGTCGTCTGTGCCTAAAAGTCTACAATAGTATGGCGGTCCTAATCAGTCAAAACGCATTAACCAGTTGTCAGCTTTTATCTAATGTAAGCTATCGTAACAAGTGTACCTCTGTGAGGGGGGATTTGATGTGAGTGACTATTTTCCTTTCCCTTACACACCTCACCCACTCGCTAACTAAAAGGCCATATAATACTTAACATAATATAATAAAAACATATCTATAATTCGTTATTTTGTTACATTTGTCCATTAGGAAATATTCATGATTTAGTATTGTCTTTCAGCGGCAAGTAAATACTGCAATTTTTGCGAGTGTTCAATATATAAGGCTTTGTGATTCTATATAATAGTCTTATACATGAAGTCTGCTGCTTCGAATGATTATGCAATTCGATCGCTTTATTGCCGTCTAAAGTCTATCACGAGGCGTCAAACATTGTATATACCTACTCAATCATATGCAAAGAAATTATATTCATTGTTTCAATATTATTATGCTGCATTTGTATGGTATTTACTTGAGGCGCAATATATATGTTAATAGTATACTCGATGTATAGGTAAGAAAATATAATTCTCCTTTCAGACAAGAATTGGTTTTATTAAAGTTTGTTTTTATAAAAACTGTAGTTATAATGTGGTTTCAGTATAATATATATTATATAACATATTGATACTGATATATTTTGTATAATATTAATATTTAAAGTACATGGTACATTTGTTTAGTATATATTTTGATATTTTCATGAAACTAATGTCCACTTTGTATAAAAAGTATCACTATGCAAGGAAATTTGCATCATCTGAACAAACGTATCTTGTCATTCAATGATTTATCATTTTTCAAAAATACATTAAATGAATAATGTTATTTAATTATATTAATATTATGTCAAATACAACTTAGCGAGACAAAACTCAGTACCTTATGTGAAATTGTAAACACAATCTCTATAAAAACCATGTGACATTTAATAAAAATAATTTTTCACCATACTTAATACTAAACATTTTAATTTGCATAAAACAACATGATATTATATAATATTTGTATATTGTTGGCAATTTTTAACATCATAAAGTTGAAGCTATGATATTATGTAGTAAATATTTTAAAGTTTATACAAAAAAATAAAATTATATATTTATAATAATATTGTATTAACTCTATATATACTTGTAATGATAAATTCGATATAAATAAAATAAAATATTTTATTTATAACATTGTCTCAGTATAATAAGTATAATAAATGTCACACATTGTTTGTACATAGAATTAGAATGACTGAACAATTAATTAACTCTTAAATCAGTGAAATCAATTCCACTGTGTTAACTGTTAATGTATTATGTATGTGTTTATTACGTGTTCACTCCATTAAAAGTTATCATCGGATACCTATATTAAAAAGAAATAAAAAAACATTTTAGAAAACTAAAAACTTTGGTAAATCATTCAATTCAAGCACAGAAATATAATATTTAATTATGGACGTGCCTACTTTTATTTTACGTACCTATATCATTTATGAGGTTACGATATTTATGAATTAGTTTCAATCGCTTGTAATCCTGCCACCACAAGTGCAGTTGAATGTTAAGTGCATCATAGTTTAACGGTTTCAATATACTTAAATATATATCTCATCATACCGATACGAATATATAAATATATGTGGATATCTATGTATGTATAATGTATGGATCAATATAATAATATAATATATAGTACCTATTAACTACTGTATATAAATATAATAATAATGTAAGAGTATGAAATATATTACATGTATAAATATATATGTTTATTATATACTATAGAATATAATATGAGGTAGGTATTTATATGATATTTTGTATTTCAATGAAGACCAAACACGCTCAAAGTTCTAAGCACATCAATTTTTGCAAAGGTCTGCTACAGCGATATTTTGTGTGTATATATTATACAGGTACAATTCCTATTATATATACCTTCACTGTTCATAAAAAAACAAAATAAAAAAAAAAATAATAAATTATACGATTAAATGGTCTTGTCACGTTATTTTCGAGCCAAACACGCAAAAATCGTATATAAGTTATAGGGTTTCGAACAGAACGGAAACTAAAAGTAGCATTTTGATTGATCAATATATGAATACTGTCTTGCGCATTCTACTATTTTTTATGGTTAAAAGCATAGGTCGATGACGTCATTTCGCCCTAAATGTCAGTAGTGGCGCAATCGCTGCGGTAAATACAGTCTGCCAGCGACCACCCTCATTCAGTATCACTTTAGTGTGTAACGTATGAACTTATGATTTCATGATTTTTATTTTGCCGTTTATGGCAGTTACCATTTTTTTTTTATTAAATAATTATTCCTGTGTTCATAATCAGAACGAGTTTCTAAAATAATACTCAGATAATATTTTAATGATATAAGATAAAATCTGAATTTGCGTATAGTTCATGTCTTCATGAATATCTCAAATTATTTTATTTTATTATGCTGACTAAATCGTCAACGAAAAAATAATAAAGAATACTTTAGTCCTTCGTAGTATGAATCTCTTGAAAAAGTATGTAATAGGTACTTGTAATATAATGTACTCGTATAATATCGAAATTGCAATTTATTTATACATTTTTATTTATGAAACGGGTTTTTCTTGTAACAGCCAACAATATCTTAAACTATTTTTATTATTTCAGAAGCCATCATCTATCAACATAAAATCAAAAAGATACCTATATGCGAACGTATCGTTAAAAATTGTACATACAGACAATACATATTATGATTACCTACCTTGCTGCTTTTCAAAACAAGTCCGTCGAAATGGTGCCCGTCAGGTAAGCTAAAATACGTTTATTGAATTACCTATAAATTTTAGTTGAAAATTTTAAAAATAAGATATTCTATACCTGTACGGTATAATAATAATACACCTTGAAATTTGAATACATATACGCAGCGTAAGTAATTCTCCACCCCATCACGATCTTGGTGTTTTCGGGTTTTCACCCATATCAATATCTCGTCAACATTTTTCAAAATTATATATGCACAGATTTTGAAATTGATTTGATCAATAAACTCGCAACGGTGAGTTATTTGTTCACCATTTTAAGAGGCTATACCTATATTATTATAAGTTATAATAAAATATTATACATATTACATATTTATCATTTTTAGACCACGTTTATGATTATTAGGTACTTAAACTAATTTTTAATCCATAATTTATTTTAATTTGTCAGTAAATATTTTGTTGAAAGTTAATTGCGTTCGTATAACATACCGTCAGTCATAATAATATTCATTTTTTTATTTTCACGATCTGAATAAAATAATACAAACAAGATTTTCATCATAATATATATACTTGCATATTAATCGAATCATATCAAATTTCATTCAATGGTTAAATGTTTAAATAATAAATATCTTGTAATGTTAATTTAATATTTTTGTCAGTTATGGCATATTTTACTGTTGGAACGTTAGAAGTTATTTTTGTAGTAGTATTACTGTATTAGTTGCTTTTATGCAGTGTTATGCTATTCATTTTACACAAGCGGCTCCAGTATGATTTTAATAGAAATGTTTATTCATTAAAAAACTGTATTAATAGAAATTCAACAATATTAATACTTTACTAATATTAACTTTATATCTTATCTATATTATCTAATTTATTATTTTGTCAGCTTTATACTTCAGGTTTTTCTAAAACCATTGACTATTGTCTTTTATTTAAAGTTTAAACACTGCAAAAAATGCATAAGCATAATAGTAAAATGAAGGTTTTAGAGTACTGGCGTACAGTTATTATGTTGAAAAATCATTGAATAAGTTTCGTTACATTTTTGATTATTTGATCAAGTATTTACTTACAGAACTTTGAACTTTTAAACTCGTAATGCTCAGTAGTCAGCCTTATTCCTATCATATCGATGTTTGATGTAACAGTCTATACCAAGATAGCTAGTTTACACATTGTCTTAAAATGTGAAATAGAATATAAACATGTTTATTTTAACGTTCTAGTATTTTTTTAAAATTATTTTAATAGGTAGTTACTCTGATAACGTTTGAATCTAATTTTATTGCGACTTGTTTAACCTGATGGCTGATGCTGTACTACTGTAGATATACATATTTTTTTTAAATTGCATTTTTTCATGTATTTGCACTGTGACCATTTATAATAGTAACCTGTTCATCAATGTTAATCTTTATATGTATTTTTTAAATTTATTACTTCAATTAAGCCTACACAAAATTATAATCGTGAGTGAATCGTGTATATTAAACGAGTTTTTTTTTAATCAGTTAAATAGGCTATGTTGACAAAACTTGTTACAAGACTTTTGTGACATGTTTTGTGAACCTATATCCCTGACCAAGTATATTATTATTAGAACAAAACTAAAATTACTCTTTTGACAAATCATTTTTTTTAAATATGTATAACTTATAATTAATAATAAGCTATGCCATTTATGACAAAAATATTTTCATGAAAATAGTTACCAGCGTTTTTGAATTTATTATATAGAGTGTAAATTCTCTTTTACTAAAATAATAAAGAATAAAGAATATCATTCAACAATTAGTATCAAAAATAATCAATAATTAATACAATTTTATAGTCAATATAAAACTCACTAAAGATTAAACATTTATTCGACAATTTAAACTTGTTTCTTGAAAACAAAAGAAGAACATTTTTAATAGCATACATTTAATCTGTAATTTATTGTCTTTGATAAAACGTATACTATCAGATGAACCAAATCATAACTAGGAGAACTATTATTTCTTATATAGGACATGAATGAGTTAGTGTTCATGCTTATGAAAACCTCCAGATTTATCGTTATCGTGACTTATCGCCCTTGTGTTAATTACCATTTTTAGATAAAATTATACATTTAAGTTTGAACCGGTTTAAAAAAATATTGTTAAACTGAGTTAAGATATTTAATTTCCTAGGTCATTATTTTTTTTGAAATTTAAAATTCCAGTTTGTAGTTAATTTTCCGCTAATTTAAAATCTAAAAACAGAAATCGCTACAAACTCAGCTATGAAAAAATGTTGATCCTTCATAATGCAGCCATAGTTATGCCTCTGGAAATTAAATATTAAATATAAGGATATAATATGTAAGTCTTTAACAAAAAAAAAACATTTAGTTAACATAATATACATATATATATTATGCTGTAATATGGTGTGCATAAACATAGTTTTCACTTGATACCTATAGGTTGGTTAATATACATAAATATTTAGCTTTTAAATTCAAAATTGTTAACAAAAACAAGGAAATAATTAAATGATAATTTTTGTACTTCAGTATTTCACTGATGAAAAGTTTTATTAGATTTCTTGTCTGGAAATTAAATACAATTACACTTAGCAACAATAATTATTCATCGTCATAGCATATGTTAGGTAGACCACTGTTGCAGAAGAGTATATGTTATCACAACATTTTAAAGTAGTCATTATTAAATTCACAAAACTATTGCAACGGAAAATAATTATTTGTTTTTAACGCTTTAACTGTACTTTACTAGATAGAAATTTAATTTGATGATTCATTTGTGTAACGAATCTTCTTCAGCCTATATAATGCCTAAAGTATTACATTTTATAAATGATATACATACATTCTACCCATATCTATCATTGGAACTTTATTTTATTCGATGAGTTAGTGAATGTTTTCGCAGTAATTATATTAATTTTATTTCGCATTTTATATACTCAATATTATGAACACGTCAGAATTCTAAACTCTGTATAATTGAATAGTCTGCAATCTGCATTTGAATTATTTAAAAAAGACAATCTGGAATTATATTTTTTCTAATACACCAAAAACTACCCATGTTGTACAAAACTGATTTTGCCTAATATAGTATGTATAGTATATAGTACCTGCCTATCATATATTCAACGACTCTTTAGTACATTCGCAGTCGACAAAAATTATTTCTGAAATGAAATAAGAAATCCATCGTTTTCGAACCGTATAGAATTTTGTTTTCTCGATAAAATACGAGCAACCGAATAAAATAATTTATTATTCATTGTCGATGTATTGACACGAATCGCGAGGGTTATTGGTGGGTGCGATAGGTTCGTAATAATATAATATTATGTTATGCGTGAGTTGTATGGCTGTGTATAATTTAATATAAATATACGGACGAAGATCCCAACTGACAAATCAAACACATCATTTAGTATTCGATTGCGGACTATATAAATATTTTACCACCGTCTATTATGGTCATGAGCGAGTATGATGGCACGACCGATGATGCGATTATTATAAATAAATTGTAATGTAGAAAATAGTTACATATTATTATTATTATTATTATTATTATTATGTATGTATATGAGTGTTGTAGGGTGCAGGGTACCCATAGTAACCTATGTGTGACGATGACGTATACTTCGCGATGGACGGTTTGTGCTGTAAAACAAGAAATTATTTAGCAAAATAAATATAATATTAGTATAATATTGTATAATAAATTACCGTTTTTTGATGAGTTCGCTGTCGTTGCCTTGGCGAACGTAATTATTATTTCTTTAACTATTTTTGCCCGAAAAAAAGAATTGCAATTTATACCGCAATGTGCCAACCGCATCATTAATTACACACGACTTGCGTTCTCTATACGATATACATAGAATGTGTATAATATTCCTGTGTATAACCTATGTGGCTATACATTTATAATACATGATATATCGTTCCGAGTATAGGTAAAAAAGCGGAACTGTAGTGGTGGAGATCCTATGTGCGACCTACCCACCTATATATAGTTGGTGGCCATCGCCAGGCAGTGTCTATCAAAACAACACACGTGTACGATATAATATAATATTCTATTTTGTCAGCGGTCGAAACGCGATATACCTACCTATTTCAGCCGTGCAGCACACATGCGATACCTACATAACAATATAATATTATGATTAGTCTCGTATAGGTACATTGGTATTGTAAACGTGTAATACGGTTTTCTCGTCGGTACCTGTACAATAATATAATATCGTATCGGACATAAAAGTTAAAAAAAATAGTTATCCTTCAAAATATGTCTATATCGAAAGTGCAGTGCGATTATTGACGCGAATATTTTTTGTGACCGAAAAGCCATACCGCACGCGATACTGACACTAGGCAGTAGGCACATAACATAACTTATTATATTATTACATAGTGTATAGATTGTAATGTTGTGAAGGTATCGTTGGTTACATTATGCAGTGCAAAAGTAAGGTTAGACGCATACCGCAATACGAAAGCGCGTTCGATGTAGGAAATCGGTTCGAAAGTCTATATGGTCCGTCGGTTCTCCGACTTATCGTTCCTCCACCGAGTGCCACTGCTCCATGGTCTCTATGAAAACGTCGTGTGTGACCAGCTGACCCGCATCCTGCAAGTGCAAAAACTTACAGTGTATACCCATACGTAGAGCAGTGGTCCCCAAACAAGTTTTCCTTACGGTACATTATTATTATTATTAACTATACTTAAATTTGCGGCAAACATTTGACAAACATTTTGTACTTGTCCACGACCATAGTATAATAGTAATTAGAAAACAAACACCAATGACCTGCAATGACGACCATTTGAATATGTTCACAATAAAATATTAAAATACACATTAGGTCATTAGATAGGATTATAGGTATATTTTTTTATAGATTTAGTATAATTTCTTCCCAAAAAAGTTTCATTTTGAAGACGGAATAACGTATATTAATGTGCATTAAAAGTGTTATTTTCAATAACTTTTTTTTCCATTTTGATGG